TTCAGCTACGTTATTCACGTAGCTGAAGTTCCGTACCTTAGTTCGAATTAGGGGGTTAGTGTAGACCTGGCCTAAAGTATGGGGAAATCTTGGGAGTGATAGTCAGTTTACCAAATTTCTTTTTCCTTAGATTTCCTTTAGAGAATTTATTTATTTATTTATGTATTTATTAAACAAAAAACCTGTTTTAGACTGCTGTTTAAAAATAAGTCATTTCTCTTCAATTAATAGAGCATGGGCAGATTTTCCCAGCATGTTTTGGAGAGACTCACATGAGGGAAAGAAATACAAAACTCTAAGCTCATTATTTTGAACCCTGTGGCAAGATAAGCATTTAAGAATATAAAATTTTGGCAAAACATTTCTCTCAAAACTTTCTATATAATATAACATTCTAATTATGCATAATTAATGACACTGAATAAATTTAAAAATAGTTAACTCATGTATGCTGTACTTTCAGATGCTGCTAAAGTAAAAAGGAAGAAGATGCAAAAGAAAAACAAATCACTGGATAAAGTTGCCAGGAAAAAACAAGGGAGTAAAAAGAAACTACTTGAAAAGAAAATAGAAAGGAGACAGCAGGAAGATAGATATGATATTGATAGAAATTCAGAAAGAAATGCTGACAGAAATTTGAGAGACTCAAATAGGAGAGATGATCTATCTAAATATCCCTATGACAGAGATGATGCCGCTGACAGGAACAGTTACCGGAGTGAAAAGGACAGGTATCATGAAAGAAATATGGATTTAGAAAATAAACACGGTAATTCCAAAAAGAAGAAAGCAGAGAGAACTTCTTCTTTTTCTGATAATGAAAAGGACAAACACTGCACTAAAGACAGTGTACATCACAATAGGAGAAAAGAGAGGTCAAAATCTAGAGAAAGAAACCGTAATAATTCAAGTCCCAGGGAGGAAGAGGAGCAGAATCGATATCGGAATGGTGCAGAGAAATGCCCAGAGAAGTATAGCAGATATTCTGACCAATGTAGAGAATCCAGGAAAAATGAGGACAGACGAAGGGAGAATTCTCCACGTAGGCGAAAATAACACTATGCCACTGAGTTTGAAATAAATGCTTTTCTGTGCAGCTAAAACTGTGTATTTTTAACTCTATTACTGAACTTTCTTTTTAAAAAGGAGCTTTTGTACAAAGTGCAAGTTTGTATTTGTAAGGTTCATTGGCTTTCTTAAGGTTTTCAGTATTGAATCTTTTATAATCACTGTATGTGAAGAACCCTTCTGTTAAATTTCTTCCTTGGAAGAGCATTTACATTTGAGAGAGAGAAAAACAGAAGCTTGCTTATATTTTGTGAATAAAATAGTTAAGATCTCACTGAAATGAATGTTTTTATCAACTTAACTTCAGATGTTTCATAAATATTGTGTTTGAGTTATGGTATCTGAAAATGCTCCTTTTTAGTTTTGTTTAGTAGTTGACAAGCAGAGCAGTCAGATTATTGTACAGAGATGTGAAATTTCATATTCCTTTATATATAGAACATATGGACATCCTGCATAGTTTATCCTCTTAAGGTGAAAACAGACTAAACAAATTAAGGAGTCTCAAGTATTTGCAGATTACCATTCGGTATAAAAACATGACACTTTCAAAAAGCTGAGCTGAAATATTGTAAAATGTTATGCTATGAGTACAGTTTAAAATGTCAACTGGAACTATGAGTGACGTCTTCCTATTTCGGTGATGCGTCTTCTCAGTGAACTTCAAACCTAAGAGGCAAGGCTCAGATAAGTGTTATGTGAGAATCTTTTTTTCTTCAGTCTTTATAAACATATCAGCGCAGGCAGTGCAGACTGTATAAGTACATAACCAACAATAAAGACCTGTAGTGCATGTTCTTCAATTTAGATTCTCAGTTAAACTTGGGAGCAGATGTGAGGACAGGCCTCTTAGTAATCTGATATAATATAAATTATTGGGATTTTTTCTTAAGACATTAAAAAGTTGCACCTGTAAACAACACAGTTTGAAGTTTTAGAAACTTGTTTTTATATTACTTTTTAATGTTTTTACTTCTGGAAGATTTTAGTTTCTTGGACCAGCCTGTCTTAGCTTGCTTATAAAGATATCCCCCACCCCCTCTCAATTATTTTTTTTCAACCAGTGAGTTTGATTGAAGGTCATACAGCTCTGATCTCTGTCACTATAACTACCAAGCCTTAGCAGGACCTTACTCAGTAGGCATGGGACTATGTGAAGAAGTAGGTTATGGTACAGAAGATGCTCCAAAATTCCATCCAGACGTGCCAACAGGAGAATAATTAAGTTCACAAAATGTTATACCAGACCAGAAAAAGTAGTTGTAGAAACAGTTAGTATAAATCTGACAGACCCAAAATAGCTGAGGCAGTTAGATAAATATATTAGTCACCTGAGAAATCAAAATAACCTGGTAAATATGGCTGGGTAATGAGTAATACCTAAAGAAATAGAGGGTTCTTTGATATAAGGTGTATAAAGAAATAGTGTAGGTATATACAATGGGAGATTTTTACAAAAGTAACAGTTAAGTCAGTTCTATAGCTTGCCCTCACTGCTATATAAGACTGACTTTTCTCCCTGAACTTTTTTACAGAATGAACTAAACTGCAAATTGCTGAGAATCTGAAAACTTTCATTTTTCAGTATTCAGTCTCAACTCTTTCTATTTTATTCCCTGTAATGCCTTGAACTAAGAATCCCACTGAAAAGGTTAATTCTGAAAGAATGCTTGTGACAGAAGAATTCCAATTGGTGGTTGTCCATTGATTTTCTTTACATCAACTCTCCACAGTATGCTGTTGAGTCATAATGACCTTTGATTATAGTTGTGTTGTACAAGCTTATTTACTACCACACCATATTTTTCCAAATTTTGCAATAACGCTTACTCCATGTTACGGGTCTGCTAACATTCACATTATAAACTCTTTTACATACTGTGTATCAGTTAATAGAGCCTTAAAAAGGCACTTGAATAAAGGTTAATACATAAAACAAATTTACTCTTTCTTTTTTTTTTTTCTTAATAACTCTATTTCTGGCATATTTCAAGAAGTGCCAGCCTAAATTCTGGTATTTCTATAATTTTTTTTTACTGTTTTTGCTATCGGCAAAATAATTTGCTAGAGTAACATTAGCTATGGTTGTGGTTACATACAGTCTGTATCTGAAATAAAGATGGCTTTTACAAAGAGAAATTCATTGCTATTTAACATAAATGTGAACATTTTACAGTCTCTCTCGCAAAAGATGTATTTTTTTAAGAAGATCCTTTGGCTTCAGTTTTGTTCCAGTTTCTTTTTATGGGAGTAGTTTTCATAAATCATTTCTCTCTACTTTTAAAATAAACAAGCAGCTTTTATTAAACAAAAAAGTGTTCCCATTTTGTGGAGGAGTGCAGCTGGTTCACAGGCGAGCTGGAGCATAACTCATGTGTCAGCTCTTTGGTGTCACCATTTTGTTGCTGGCCGTGAATCAAAGATGGCTATTTCCATTTCACTAGATAAGGAATTGCGTTAACTGCAGCTTTAAGCAGGATACCAATCTTACTGTTAAAATTCAGCCCTTATTTCACTATTAGGAGGTTAATACTGTTAAAAACAATAAAACATAACCAATACATGTCTGTTCCAATATAATATTTTACCAAGCGATTCCTGCACCAAGCCCATAACTTCTGGTTGAGTTTGAGCATATTTTTTAGAAAAACATCCAGTCTTGCTTTAAGACTTCAGGCAACAGAGAGAATGTACCACTCATGTCCCTAAGTAAGTTGTTCCACTGGTTAATTATGATCACTTAAAATGTGCCCCTTACTTGTAATCTGAATTAGTTTAGCTTCAGCTTCCTGCCCTTGGATCTGATTATAACTTTCTCTTCTAAATTGAAGAGCCCTCTGCTATCAGGGAGGTACATATAGGCCATGATCAAATCACCCATTAACCTTCTCTTGAATAAACTGAATAGATTGAGCATTTTTACTTTCTCACAGTATGGCTGGTTTTCCAGACCTTGAAGTGGAGTGGGGTGAAAACTTATTAATACTTTACAATGCATGGAGAGAGAGGAAACAATATGTACATTATGCTTTTTTTGCCATTAAAGGTAGTGTAAGATATGTATTTAGTGATTCACTTATTAGGCACAAGGGCTCAGATCCATAAAGTTCCTTGGGTACCTAAGTTTTCTGCCTGTAGGCATGTGAACTGCTGCTCTGCTTTAGGTATCTGGGCACATATCTCCTGCTGAAGCCCCAGAGCGATCCAGGAATCTGGGGAAGATAGGGGTTTGTCCACCTAACTCGCATATGGGGCCTCATCAGAGACTGCTTACTGTTTTGGGTCTCATTCAAAATCTGGCTGGTGGTGGGGCCTACCTTATAAATTTTAGCCCCGTGGTTAGAGCAGTCACCTGTGATGTGAGATGCAGGTTCAATTCCCCTTTTGAACAGAAGGGGAGAGAGGATTTGAATAGGTGTCTCCCACCTCTCAGGAGCATGCTCTAATCTCTTAGCTATAAAATAGTCTGATGTGGGACTGCCTCAGTCTCCCCTATTGAAGTTGTTCCACTGTGTACAAAAAATGATAATAATTGCACCAGAGAAAAAGAGAAACTAGTCCAGTAGTTAGGGCACCCACAGAGAGGTGGGAGTCTCTGAACTCCAAGGACTCTATCCAAAGAGGAATACCTTCAACAGGAAAGATTGAGAGCCCAACATCAGAGTATCCCATAGCTTAGTGGTTAGAGCACCCTTGTAAGAGGTGGAGACCCCTGTTCAAATCCTTCCTCCCCCTGCTCCCCAAGCAGAGGGGGGAATTGAATTGGGTTTTCCCACATCCCAAGTGAGTGCTCTAACTGGGGCAAAAAATAAGGTGGCCATCCTCCCACTCACCCCTGCTTTGTATGGAGTGAATCAGGCATCCAACTGATAGTCACAGGAAACAATTTGCGCCTAAGTTGCCTGACTCCAGGAGACAGGTTTCCAGCTGTGGATCGCTAGCAGAGATAGGCTATTAGGTGCTTCTCTACAACCCAGACTTTGTTACCCATCTTCTTCAGGGGTGAGGCAGGGCTGAGGATTCATTCCTTTTATCAAGATCTCGCATTGGCTAGCTTTGGCGGCTCCCCACCTAGTATGCTGGCTTTTGTGGATCACATTCTGAGGCATCTGTCTCTCCCCATTCATTGTTTAGGGAGCCAAGGTGCCTAACTCAGGCTTTGTGGACAGGGCCGGATTCACTCTCCTGTGGGCCTGGGGCTATTAGATTTTGTGGGGCCTCTGAGGGTTTGGAGTGCGGGAGTAGGCTCAGGGCTGGGCAGGGGATTGGGGTGCAGGTGGTGGTGCAGCTCCAGCTGTGGGGGTGGGGCCAGGGTTGGGGTGCAGCAGGAGGTTTGGGGTGTGGGCTCTGGGTGGGAGATTGGGTGTGGGAGGGGGCTCAAGGCTGGGGTGCAGGTGGAGGTGCGGGCTCTGGGAGGGAGTTTGGGTGCAGGAGGGGGCTCTGGGCTGGGGTAGGGGGTTGGGGTGCTGGCTCTGGCCCGGAGGCACTTACCTCAGGAGGCTCCTGGTCTGTGGGTCTAAGGCAGGATCCCTGCCTTCCCTGGCTCTGCGCTGCTCTGCTCACCAAGATGGTCGGCATGTCCAGCCGCTAGGTGGAGGAGCCAGGCACCTCTTCACAGTGCGCGCTGCCCCTGTAGCTCCCATTGGCCAAGGTTCCCAGCCAATAGGAGCTGCAGAGCTGGCACTTGGGGTGGGAAGCAGTGCGCAGAGATTCCCTCAATGCCTCTTGCCTAGGGGCTACAGGGGCATGCCGGTGAGCCGGCGCTCGCAGCTCCAGCCCGTGGGGGCTGGAGGGGCGCTGAGGCTCGGGAACCAGTGTCCAGCCTGTGGCGCGGAGACTTGCTGTGGGCCGAATAAAAAGAAGCAGCGGGCTGCATCCAGCCTGCAGGGCCCCCCTTAGCCTGAGGCCCTGGGCTGTAGCCCCTAAAGCTCCTGCGTTAATCCAGCACTGTTAGTGGATCACAGAGTTATTCTTGTGATTTTCTGTGGGCTTAGAAGTTCCAGGCCTGAATTCAAAATAATGATGATCATTTACAGAAGTGTTTGTTTATGCGTTTAACTGTAACTATTACACCCTATGTAATAGTACAATAGTTCTGGTTCTTTGTCAGGGAAACTGAAATGCCAATATTAATAAAACTTGTATTCAGTGTATAATTTCAGATCACCTTACACAGGTTATGATGATTTCTGGCTATGCATCAAGATTTATTCAAATGATATAATAATGGTGGTAATTGGGTGATGTGCAAGATATAAAAAGGAAGGCAAAGGTTAATCAAACATTTAAATATTCAACGGTATACACTGATTTACTTCTATTGTATTATCATTAAAGCCAGTGGTCTGTGTTTGTGGGCCAGTTTTCTAGCTCAGATGCATCCAGTATTGGTTTTTTGCTTAACTGTAAACAAAGGAGCTGTTCATTTTCAGAACAATGACATTTGTTTAGCAAGGCCTTTCTCAGGTGAGCATCCATCTGCCAATTTGATTCACATGCTGATTGGGTCGGCCCACTTTCAGCTTGAGCTAATGCGTGCAAATTTCTTTCTTTAGGCTCTGTCACAGTTGGTGCCTGTTTTCCTCCATGTTCTGTCTCCAGCAGAGCTTCTGCTTTCTCATTTTTTATTCTATTTTTATTTCCTTATTAATCCTAAATATTTCAGTTCAGAAAAGGGACCCTCTCAAAATGCATAAATCCAAATGAGAATCTGCCCCTCCACAAGTCGAATTGGATCACTCCATAGTGTAAACATTCCAATAGCAGGATGGGCCACAAATTATAAAAAAATCCAGAAGGACAAACACATCAAGAAACAGGTTGTTCTTCTGGCATATGTCACAACACTTACACAGTCCCTACAAAAATATTAGGACATACCTGTTTCAACTCTCAGTGGTCTGTGTAATAACATCTAGGCTATCATGCTGCTCTGATCACATCTAACAAACGGGATATCAGAACCTGATGGCTTTCTTGGGTGGTTGTTTTTTTATTATTATTTGTAAATGATGGTTCTTTAAATTATTTTCTCTTGATTCTCCTATGTGCCATGGTGGGGAGGCAGAGCATCTGGTCTAACAATAACTTTGGCAGCCTTTGGCTGCTCAGTGGAACTCAGTACAGCAATCAATAAGCCACCAACTGGAGGAAAGTACAGAAACCCAAATGGCAGAAGAAAGAGAAGTTATTCTGGAGTTTCATCAACCACTGCTAACTTGATCTGGAGATACAAACAACAGTTTCAATTCTTCCAAATATATTTGTTGTTGCAGTAGCAACTTATCCATTCAGAAAACCATGGGTAAGTCAGTGGTATTTGCCTAGCTTTCCAAATACCCATGAAATCTCAGCCCAATCTTGGCCTTAGTGTGGGACTTGGGTATTTTGTTTCCCCCATCCCCATCAATGAGCCTTAGAGGATCTAGGGCCAATACAATTTGTCTTCTCCCCTCAGATCTCTCCATTTACCCTCCTTTCCATCCAGCCAAAGAAAACATGTTTTTGTGGAAACAGTGCACAACTTATCCAGGCTCATTCCCCAATTCCTGTTGTGGAATGGAACGTAGACATCATGAAGTATTTGGAGTGATATTAAGATGCAGTGGAGTCTTAACTACAATGGATTTCTCCACTTTCAATGGACACATCAGGATGATGTATGTCTTTTCTCATTCAGGAGCTCTACTCCCAAGATTACCTGTATACAGCCTTGTATGCCTACTTGTATATGCCTATTCAACCATCCCCTCAGCCTTTGCATGAAGGTCTTCTGCATAGTTTGTCAAAATTATGAGGCATGCTGGATGTTGGCTCTGATTGATCCTTCATGCTATTTAATACATGGTCATTCATTATTTTTACACATGCCTGGATCAGGGCTGATAATCTTTACACGTCAGAGCACAGAATACTTGGATAAGGCTGCAGGACTGAGTCTGACCCAGATGGTTTTGAATGGGCATGAACCAAGAGGATCGGGTAGAAGGAGTTGACCATCTCTTTTGTATCTAAACTTACAAATGCAATAAGTTACCTTCCAAAAATGGTTGTAATTGAATGTTTTGTCCCAGGATAGTACATGGGTTCAACACTGGGGTATAGACTGCACATCTTTACCCCAAAAGCCCTTGCTGAGTTTCTCCTGTTGCTCACTGTGGTGACAGTAGAGGTGCCTCAGTTTAAAGTACCCAATCAATTCAATGTTCATACAGATGATAGTTCTTCCTGGATTGTCTCTGGAATTCATGACTACCATGACGATCACTGTTCTGCCCTCTAAACATAATTTGTGTCACTGTTTTGGGT